CGTGGTTTGAGACAAACAGTAGTGAATAAATGAAGTTTTGCGGTGGGAAGGAAAAAATAACTTCAAAGGCATTTTATTTTTACAGTTTATTGTATAATATAAAACTACAAAAGTAAGACTGCTCAATCCCACTTGCATTTGTCCAATGGTCTGTAATTACAGTCCGCACGTATATGTGGAACACAGTAACCTTGCTTTCAGATGTATACGTTTGAAATATTGCATAGAAAAAGGCACAGCACTAAGGTCTGTGGGAAAAAGTTACAGCATTTCTGCCTTGACAGAAGCAAGCACTCTATATAAGGATTCTCAGCCAAGACCGTCCGTCCATTGCAAACCTCTGAACAAACATGACTTCCACCCTTTCCGTACATTCCAACAGCCAATTACATTCCTACTATACATACATTCTGTACACATTGCAAACCATTTCGCAGATTTTCTGTTAGCTTCACATTAAAATAAATATATTTACACAAAGAATAAATAAGTTATAGGCAGGGGGAGAGAAGGGGAGGGAGGAGGGAAAGGAGATGGGGGGGGGAAATCACTTCACAACCAAAGCTTTTCTGCTCTCTTCCAGCCCAGCCCTGGACGACAGCCAAGAATAATTTGTTCCCTGATGTAGTTTAGAGCTCTGTGGTATCTGGCTGTTCTACACAAACCAGAATAACGACATGTACAGGGTGTTCACAAAATCCTGTTACCACCTCCACCCCCCCTTCTCCCTCCACCCCCCCATTGTATTTTCTCTCTCGTACAATGATTTTGTATTTGATAATAATAATCCTTGCATTTGATACAGCACCTTATCACGTCGTTGAGGTCTTAATGCACTTCACAGCATAAACTATTAAGAGCACTGACTGTATATTTTGTGGGTGAAACGCGGGAGCCAATTGCACACAGCAGTGTCCCACAAATAGTCATGGATTCAGTTTTTTAAAAAAGAGATTATCATGACTGGAAAGTGATCCTCCAATCAACTAAAAACGGTTTCCCATTTACTGTTAGTTAAACAGAGGCACGTGGAGTAAGGAAAATTGCCTAAGGTTCCATCCTGCCACGGAATCGAGCCCTGGGTCCTCTCGCTTGTGAGGCGAATGCTTTAGCCACTACAGTACAGGACTCCATGAACAAATGCAAATTTAAATGCAATATTGAAAGAAAAAGGCCCCCTGATATTACAAGTATTATCGGGCACTGGGCCTCAGTTGTTATAAAGGCAAAAGCAATTTGTAAACTTGATGGAGAACTGGTCAACCAATAAACATCAGATCACTGACCGATTAATTTGTTTAATTTATATAAAAGAAAAGGTTTGAAATCTACAACTTGCCCAGCCTGGAAGGAAGAGAGCAGAATTTTACAAACAGGGTATGGAGGAATAATGTGGAACATAATTTAAAATCCTTAAATAAATTAAATTTATAAAGTTACTCCTAAAGAAATCATAGGCAAGCATTGCAACAATATAGGTTGTAATCTGCACATGACTGCTATAGTACCATTGAAAAAGCAAGAAAAAAACAAAAACCTTATAATGCTATTATAACAATGCAGTGGGCATGATGCATTCCAATAATTTCTAAGCAATTTACAAATTCATTACCGAATATGCTTTTGTTTTGTGCATAAACATAAGCTTTAGAAATCGTCATTGCCCTCAGTGTAAAAATCATGCATAGAAATCTGCTTTTGCGAGAAACCTGCCTGAAGGCATGAAGAAGTTGAAACAAGAAGCCGGTTCAACTGGAAAAGTAAAGTGGTGTTAAATTAGTCAGCCTCAGTTTGAGAAGCTTTGAGGAGGTCCGTTCGTTCCGATTTCCCGAGCTGTCCTCAGTTTTTTGGGGAAAACCAAGTATCTAACACATGACGAAACCCATCACCATACTAAAAAGTATCCAAACCAAACTGAGAATTCCATGCATCCCACTTACACATGGAAATCCCAGAGATAGATTGTTGGAATGGAATGCGCACCCTCTCCCTGGAGGGACGCCTCCTGCTTACCTAATTATTAGGTGCAGGTTGGCAAGAGCCAAGGCTTGGGGACCCCAGAGTGTGCATTGGGGTACAGCTGGAGCCGGACCAGCTAAAACCGCATAGCTTGCCATTGGTAGCACTGTATGGCAAGCTTTCCCACTGCTTGCCCAGCTTGGACCTCCCTATCTATTAGGGCTTTGGCTTTTAGGGTTAACAGGAGTTGAGTGGGAGGATTCCCTGCCCCCAGAGACTGGTCTGCCCTTCCAGGTCCTGCCAATGAGCCAGGCTGGGCTGTGCTGACATCAGCAGTGCCCTGGAATACTGTGGACCTGCCTGACTCAGGAACAGGACTAGAGACCATCACAGAGAGTGCACTCGATTCCGAAATTCTGTTTGCAAACATGTAATTCTGAGGCCAGTTCAGCTCCAAGGAGACCCTGTTTATCCTCCCTCCCCACCACCCCCCAGGAGGATAATCGAGCTGTCCTTACTCTGAAGCTAAACCCATGTACCCCATCGCAGTAATACTCAAGCGTACATTCTAACACGGAGCACCTGAGTGCTATCAAGTATTGATACCGTACACATGCTTTTTATATTAAAAAGATTGCGTTGGAGAAGTGTCCTTTTTTCTCTACGCTACAATAGATTATTGCCAAGTATTTTGTTCAAATGCATGAATTCCTCCCTTCCTCCCTCTCTCTCTCCCTCTCTCCTTCTCCCCCAACTCCTCTCTCTCTCGTTTTCTACCCCAACCTCTCTCTCTCCTTCCTTCTCTCTCTCTTCTCTCTCTCTCTCGCCCCCTTTCCACCCCACCAGATTTATTGCTGGTTTCTAAGCATTTAAAGTTACCATTTTTGGAAAACTGAACAAAACAACCCAGCTCCAGCCACATTTTCTGCATTTCCAACTACTGCAGCCACAGTTTGAGATGTTGTAAAATCATTTCATTTAGATTAAAAAACACACACACATTCACACAGTGGAATTATAGGGAGCGACGATAATATATTAAGCAAGTTAAAAAAAAGCACTCTCAGATTAACATTACCCAGATCCACCAGGCAACCGGTAAATCTGTTTGGTCAGATCCTAACTTAAACCCTTGCCCTAGCTCATAGATACAAAAAAAGCTTTCAGAACTAGCACCAAGTTGTTGTGAAGCATTTACTTTCCTGAACAAGACCCAAATCAGAGGGGGGAGGGGTCAAGATTACAGCATTTCACTTTGTGCATATATGCGAGAGTGTGTGTGTGTGGATTTGAGAGAGTATGTGTGTATACCTAAATGTGAGTGTGAGAGAAAATGTGTGTATGTGTGAGAGTGGATGTGTGTATGTGAAAGGATGTGTGTATACTTATATGAGAGTGTGAGAGAGTATGTGTGTATACACAGGATGAATCACAAGTCCTTACACGAAGGCTATGAAATGAAAGACATCTTCTGTAATAGCTGCACGCGGTCTACTGATGTTGTTTTAAAAAAACCATAATTAATAATTAAAACCTTTACGAGTAAGAACTTCTGATTTTCCCTGTATGTGTGTGAGAGAGAATGTGCGTATGTGTGTATGAGAAAGTGTAAAATTTACTTGCATAGGTTTCCTGTGCACTTTAACTGAATGCTTCACAGATGTAAACGGTCACTGATGATAAAAGTGGGCAGCGATGGGGAAACAGCAAAACAGCAGCAACCAGCAAGAAGTTTGTTTACGGCATAAAATTTAAATTGGCAATAAAATAATCCTTGCATTTGATACAGCATCTTATCACGTCATTGAGACGTCTCAAAGCGCTTCACAGGATATATATTGTAAAGTGGATTGACCGTGTATTTTGTGGATCAAACGTGACAGACAATTGCGTACAGCAATGTCCCACAAACAGTCGTGGATATTAAGTGACCACATTTTTTTTTAAAAGGGATTATTACCCATGGAAAACGGTCTGCCAATCAACTAACAGTTGGGTTCATACTTATTACTAGTTAAACAGAGGCGTGTGGAGTAAGGAAACTTGCCTAAGATTTCGCCCTGCCTGGGAATCGAACCCGGGTCCTCTCGCTTACGAGGCGAGTATTCTAACCAATATGCTATTAGACTCCTTCTGACCGCATGTGTACTCTCTCTCAGATCCATTCAAACCAGTTGTAGACTTGTTTGCTTTAATTTTCCCCTTGCATTGCACACAACGTGAACATTATGGTTTCAACTTTTCTCTCCCCACTCTCTTTCTTACCACCACCCCCATCCCATCCTCTCTCTCCTCTCATATAAAAGTACATGTTATTCTTGCTCCTCTGAATTTCGCAGGGGTTTATTTGGGACAGAGCAAGGCCTATCAAAATAGTTCTCTCAGGTGTATAAACAGCATTCGGATTAGAAAACAATATGATCCTACTGCAGAATCTGTACAAAAATATAAATAATCCCCGGACGGACGGTGGGGCTTAAAAGAGCAATGAAAAATGACAGTCAGGTCGAAGATAAATGATCGATAGAATTAAAGCCCACAGGAAGAATGCTGAGACTTGCAAACCACAGCCTACAATTTTTTCTTAAAATGCACGCATTTCAATAGTTTTTTTCCTAACGCAACCTCTGTGCTGGGCGTAACGCATTGCACAATGCATCATCGTCTCACACGATTGGCTGTTATCTGTGGAGATCACTATATATTCCCAGCTCCCTTCAAAGTGGAACAAATAACGATAATAATAATCCTTGCACTTGATATTGCACCATACCACGTCGCTGAGACATCTCAAAGCGCTTCACAGAATAAACTGTAAAGTGAATTGACTGTATATTTTGTGGGCAAATGCAGTAGCCAATTGTGCACAGCAGTGTCCCACAAACAGTCGTGGATTGAGTGACCAAATTATTATTATTATTATTTTATTTATTAAGGGATTATTATACTCGGAAAGTGATCCGCCAATCGACGAACAATCGGGTTCCTATTTACTGCTAGGTAAACAGAGGCGTGTGGAGTAAGGAAACTTGCTTAAGGTTTCGCCCCACCCGGGAATCGAACCCGGGACCTCTCGCTTTTGAGGCGAGCGCACTGACCACTATGCTACAGGACTCCACATAAACAAACATAACAAAGCCACGTTTTCTAAGAAAATCACATTCCGAAACCCTCCAGGTGATCGTATGCACAGATGAAGGCACTCCAACTCTGCTGAAGCAACGACTGGTATTATTACAGTTCTACATAGACGAGCAAAGATACATGCACAGTGTAGTACTGTAGTAACATTTGCAGTGACTCAATTCACGTTCTTTTCAGTTTTAAAAAAATTGATGTATGAATGTTACCGGTAAATAAACTGTAATATATATATATATATAAAAAAAATCTAAATCTCTCGTCAGATCAAGACCCAACGAGCACCTCCATTATGTGATCCAGTTCGGCAAGGTCCATTTTGAAAGGCTGACTGGGGCTAACTGATGATGGGTTGCTGTAGGGAGATAAAGTCTTCAGGATGTCATCTGCCGTCACAGCGGCCATTTTGGAACTGGGTCCCGTCGTGGAGGTGCAGGGATCAAAATCGTACATGGAGGTGTCAATGTCCGCAAACAGGATGTCGTCCAGCGTCAAATCCGTCAAAAAGCCAGTGGAAGTGGTGACCTCAAAGTTGCCCGGCAACGAGTCCGTCAGCCTGCTGTCCGATGGCTTGTTCTCCTGCACCTCTTCAGGCTTTGCACTGTCCAACACCTCGCTGCTTGGGGCCGCTTTGCTCTCCTTGATGTCCGTAGGGCTGGGAGATGGGCACAGCTCCTCGATTTCGTCCAGGGCGGAGGAGAAGCTGTCTTTGGCAAGATGGGTGGGAGGCTTGCCTGAACCTGACCCCAGTTCAACAGTCTGGGAGATGCTAAAGGAGTCTTCCTCCAGCACGGAGGCTGGCGTCAGGCAGGAGTCAAGGAGGCAGAGCTTGTCAAGCCAGCGGGCTGGATGGGAGGAGAGGAAAACTGGCTAAATGCGGGCTGGGCCTCCCCGCGGTGGTTGTCGTTCAGGAGAGAATCGCTGGGCTGGGAAGCAGTCAGGAACCCGGGCCTCAAACTGCCTTCTTGCTTCAACTCCTCCTGAATGCGCCTCAGCATGTTGTTGATCAACACCGTCTTTTGCAAGCTGGGCTCCGTTAATGGCTGCTGTCCTTGGCTGTAAAGTTTCATGAGGGAGATGTTGAAGATAGTCTGTCGCTGTAAGGTGTAAGACACCTTTGAGGGAGCGAACCCCGAGGTCGACACTTTGCCTTCCAGCCCATCTTCATGCTCGCTAAACTTTCGCTTCGCTCCTTTGCCCAACATATATCTGAAAGGCAATGGGGAAGAAACACAGGTGTTCAGCTTCAACTCATAATAATAATCATAATATTACTTGCATTTGACACTGAGCCATACCCCGACCCTAAGACATCTCAAAGTATTTCACAGAATATACTGTAAAGTGGTTTGACTGTGTATTTTGTGGATGAATGCAACAGTCAGTTTGCGCACAGCAGTGTCCCACAAACAGCCACGGAACGGAGTGAGTGACCAAATTATTATCATTTTTAAAGGGATTACCCCCAGCTACCTGAGAGTAAACTGATTATAGGGGAACAGATACAAGGACAGGAATCCAATACACTAGGTCAAATTAAAACAAAAACAAGAGCATAGCTCAAGCCGTTGAGAAGTCATCTGAGACTTGATTTCAGGGGGTGGGGATGTAGCATTAAACGTATACCACGTTTTAAACCAAGCAGCTTTAGTCTGCTTCACATAGTCTAAGATGACACTCCAATGCAGTGATGGGGGGGTGTTGCATTGTCAGAGGCACCATCCTTCGGATGACACATTAAACTGCCTGTTCAGGTGGACATTAGAGATCCTATGGTCCTATTCGAAAAGTGGAGGAAATTTCTCCCTCCCGGTATCTTGGCCAACAGTCCCCCAAATAAAATTGGTCGCTCACTACATTTCTGTTTGTGGGGCATTGCCGTGCACATATATTCTGTGAAGCGTTTTGAGACATCTCAAAACGTGATAAGGCACTATATCAAATGTAAGGTTTATTAAACGCTCCAAGACGCTGCCCCACGCAATAGGTGCTATATAAATGGAACTGTTGTAATATCAGAGACGTACACTGAGATAGTGCCAACGATGACGGCGTCAGAAAATTTACAGTCAATTACACGGAAACCCAATCAATTTACACACAATAACGCAGTGTGTAGCTATAAATGAAAAATTAAGTGTGTGTACATTGGCAATAGGTGTCTGTGACACTTACAGCTACTTTCTGTGGTGAGAGCCCATTAATTGGGGCTTCCTGTGTAAATCAATTGCCCATTTATCACATTATCTCAGTTGAAGCCCATCAATACCTCTGTAACTCGTGCCCATAGAAAGCGTCCTATATTGAAAAGGGCTTCATTAAAATATCCTCAGTAATAGACCAACTGTATACGTAGAATTCAATCTTCAGAGGGACGAAAGCAACAGAGACTCCGTTCAGTAAATTATATAATCCTTTATCCAACAATTTGGTTGGAAGTATCGTCACATCAGCCTTGGAATACAGTAAAACTCACATAAGTCTATCAGTCGGGACCAAAACATTTAATCTGATTTACGCCAAGTCCGAGTTGCTGGCAAACTGTAAACGTCGTAGAAAATACAATTTAATCAATAATCCTCACTGCGCATGCTTAATTTGATGCAGCTGGTAAATGCACATTTGGTGACGCATTAAAACTACATTTCCCGAGATTCAATGCGTCTCGCCCATCGCCGCATGGGCACTTACCGGCAAGCATTTAATCGCATTGAATTGCAGGAAATTAAGTCCTTCTGCGCAAGCGGCAATGGATCAAAACTTGTTTCCCGCGATTCAATGCAGCCGGTAAGTGCGGGAGTAATGGAGGATAGGGGAGCGACGTGACGAGTCAGGAGGTGATTAATACGAGGAAAAAAAGAAATCTAAGTGGTTTTGAAAGGAAACTAAATGGGACTCGGGTGAACGTACGATTTAGGCAATTATACGATTTATAAAGATAAGACTTGTGCGAGTATTACTGTACTGAGGATTGTCAAATAATCCCGCTGCTTGTCCAGATAGGAAGACCACCCCACTCAGTAGGGCTTTGTTTGGCTTGTAGGGCTAACAGGAGCTGAGTGGGAAGCGTCCCTGACCCCAGTCTGCCCCTCCAAGTCCTGCCATTTAGCGAGGCTGGCTGTGCTGTCATCAGCAGTGCTCTGGAGTACGCTGCCTGTTTTACGAACCAGGCTGGCGAGACCGCCACAGAGATTTGGCTCAATTTTGATATTCCGTTACCAAGCACATCACCTTGGAGCCAGTTCAGCTCTGAGGAGTCCCTACTCATCTCCCGTGCCCACCCCCACCCCACCCCACTGGTTGGCGGATCATTTTCCGGGGATAATATCCCCACCCCTCAACTAAATCCACGACTGTTTGTGGGACACTGCTGTGCACAATTGGCCGTGTCTCGCCCACAAAATACACAGTCAATTCACTTTACAGTATATTCTGCGAAACGCTTTGAGACGACTCGATAATGTGATAAGGCGCTATATCAAATGCAAGGATTATTGTTATTATTATAAATCAGTGAATGCAGCAGTCAGTTTAACACATAGTCCTGCTGTTCGTTCAGTGCTTCTTTGGCGAGTGAGGAGTTAAATCCTCAGTTGCGTAGCGAGTTGTTTTGTAATCTCTAGAAAACTCGCGAGCAGATAAGATAGCTGGTCTGCTGAAAACTGAGTCTTAAAGGGCCATTGAGAGCTTTCTGGTATTAAAGGGGCAGTGGCTGCCAAGTTGTGTGCATTTATCCGTTTTGTGATTGGCTCGTTGAACGATTAGTTACAATTGGATGGAAGTTATATGTTAACAGAAGGCAAAGCCGCTCTCAATATCACCAAATTAAAATCAAGTAATCAAGACATTTACAGAACTTTCCCTAAAGCCATTTTGCATGGGGATTGTCACTCTTCAATGCAATACAAATTCAATTTAGATTTACACAGCGCCTTTCACGTCCAGAGGACGTCTCAAAGTGCTTGACCCCGCTGGCTGGGCACCCGAGCTGGGGGTGGGGAAGGGAAGCATGATCAAAGAGACAAACAGTACATATTACACACACACACACACACACAAGTGCAAGGCCGTGGAGGGCTTTGAAAGTGAAGATAGGGTCACGGAGCCTGGTGCAGGACAGAACACGAGCTGCAGAGTTCTGAATGATCTGCAGCTTATGGAGGGAAGAGTTGGGAAGGCCGGTTAGCGTATTGGAGGCTGGATGTGATAAATGTGTGGATGAGGGTCTCGGCAACTTGAGGGGAGAGGCAGTGGCGGAGCCAGGCGAAGCTGCGGAGGTGGAGGAAGCCTGAGCGGGTCACGGCACGGATGTGGGGTAGAAAGAACAGTTGAAGGCCAAACAAAACACCAAGGAGTGAGCCATGAGTGAGTGACCACAATTATTTTTTTGGGGGGGTTTGTTTGATTGAACCCACAACTTTCCGACTCAGAGGCGAGAACGCTACCACTGAGCCAGGCTGACACACTGCGCTAGAAACCGATCAACTCATTCTGGGAATACGATTCAAGCAGCAGTGAATTGAGTGGGGATCCAAGTTGAAAGGTAAATCTGTTTCTCCAGCAAGATCTATCCTACTCCTCCCAGTGGAGCGTAAGCAAACGCCCATTGGGCCAAATGACATCTGGGGACACTGCACTCTAAGGAACCATCTTTAATGCAATTGGAAAAATACTTTACGGCGTTAATTCATAATAATAATATTTTATTTCATTTGATATAGCGCTTTATCATATTGCGAGACGTCTCAAAGCTTGCCAGACAGCGATATCCATGGCAAGCTATGTGGTTTCAGATGGTTAGACTCCAGCAGTACCCCAATGCACACTCTTGGGTCCCCAAGCCTTGGCTCTTGCTAATCTGCGCCTAATACTTTCCGGAATTAGGTAAAGCAGGATGTGTCCCTCCAGGGAGAGAGTATGCATTCCATCACAACAGCCTATCTCTGGGATTTTCATGTGTAGGTGGGATGCATGGAATTCTCAGTTTGGTTTGGATACTCTTAAGCATGGTGATAGATTTCCACATGTGTCAGGTTGACCAAAAAAAATGTCATCACGGTGTCAATATCCCAGTGCATTCATTCATGTATTTATACACATGTCTAACTCACCTCTCCTAATAATTCGTCAGTGAGCTCTTTTCCCTTTATGTGATGAGTTATCAGGAGTTGGCTGGTTAGACTTGCCTGAGGCAACAAAGCGGACGGGACAGCATTGTACGAAAACATTTTACTTTAAGGAAACTATGCCAGAAAGCACAGGTTTTCTAGCAGTGGTTTATGATCAGCTACAACAATCTGGATTGTGTGAGAATGTCACATGTCTGCTTTCAGGAAGCTTCCTGGAGCTCCTGCATACCTTTCACACAGCAAGTGAAGGTTTCCTGACCAGCAGTTAACCTAACGCATCTCTCCACAGATCAGATATGAGGCACAACCTGTCTAAGTACTAATGGAGCCCTAACTCTGTAGAACTATTACAAAAAAAATCACTTCTCTTCAAAGCAGTAGATTATTATTATTGTTTTAAACAAAAAAGGTCAACTCTATCTGAAATCGTTATAGAAGTGGTTTGTCCCATCTGGTTCAAGAAGTCAGACAAGTTTCCAAGGAATTTCTCTCCTCACTGCGGACTCTTAGTGAAGTGTAACCGAGTCAAAGACTGCTTGCTCTAGGTTTCACTGCCAAATAGTCCAGGAATTCACCTTCTGCTGTAAGGCGAAGCCAGCAGAGCATTAAACAGCAACACAAAAGTTGTGAAGCCGGACATTTAACATGATCAAACGGACTTACTGTGCAAGACGTCTGCTCCCTTTTACCAGCGCTCTCGAGTGTATCCCATCATTAAAGATACCCAGGTTACTGCAGGTCACTGTATAGTAGCTGAGAGCCACTGGTACCCCACCCTGTAGGTACATGCTGTGCATTTTTTACAAGTTATTCACACACATGTTGCAACCACCGCTTGATGATTGGTTGCTGAGTTCAAAGGTTCTCCCAAATCTATTTAAGGAGAGGCCAGCAATGCAGCCTGTAGTACGTTAGTTGGCTTGAGTTTTTTTTAATAAAAAATAATATGAAACACCTTGCTGGCTGACATCCTATACCAACTGCAGTGCCATAAGCAGCACAAATGATCAGAAACTGCATTTTCTGATCCAAGAACTTTACTTCTACAACTACTACTATTAATAATAATTATCCTTGTAT